GGGGGAGGCCGCGCGCGCCCCAATGGGTCGAGGCTGCGCGAGGGCTTGAGCGGGCGGGAGCGCGGGCACAGGGCAAGAGAACCCGGAGGACGAGGTCTGGGCGGTCACGCTGCGCCGGCTGTCCCCACCCAGGTTGGCTGCCCAGAGCTCACACAAGACAGGGCAGGGGAGCGCTGCCTGGGAGCCCCGTGACCTATTTCATTCCTGTGATTTCCTTGAGGCGTCCTGGTCTCGGGTGCCCATTTTAAAGGTTTCTCTATGCCTAGCCCAGAACTGCCACGTTCATGGCCGAAATAATTGCTTAGGGGGCCTGTAAGGATAACCAGCTGGGTGCGGGATAGGCAGGTTAAGGAGGCAGATCTTTAAAACAGCAAAATGCCCAGACAGCGCCTTTAGAATTGCCGTTGCCCACATGGCAGAGGGGTCCGCTTCCTTAGCAACATTCTGGACCTGGTTCATTATTACTGTTCCCCGGGAAACATTTGCTTAACTGGATAGATGTTGCTGCTATGCGCATCATCATCACCACCAAATTGCACTTATTAAGTGCTCTTTGAGCTGTGTCTTAAATTGAAAATCACTTACTGAGTTCTTGCAGAAGCTTCCTGCAGAAGTGGCCAAAACCCAATTCATTTAGGTGCCGAATGGCACCATTAATTTATGTTTTCATTTTACTACATCAATAGAATCTAAGGTTAAGAACCTGAGTGGGGGATGTGATGGCTCATGCCTGTAATCCTATTACTCTGGGAGGCCAAGACCAGTCCATTGCTTGAGCTCAGGAGTTGGAGACTATCTTGAGCAAGAGTGAGACTCCATCTTTACTAACACAGAAAAATTAGCCAAACGTTGTGTCTGGCACCTGTAGTCCCAGCTACTCAGGAGGCTGAGGCAAGAAGATTGCTTAAGTCCAAGAATTTGAGGATGATGTGAACTATGATGACGCTTTGGCACACTGCCCAGGGCAACAGAGTGAGACTCTCAAAAACAAAAACAAACAAAAAAAGAAAACCCCGAAAACTTGATAGTGGTTTGTTTTTATGAGTCCACATCTCCTCTGCACACAAAACCCAAAGAATCTAGTAGATCTTGAAGTTAAAGATCTCTCTCAGTTTAAAGATGAAAGAAGAAAAAGCCATGATATTCATGTTTTGCCCTGTCAGTAGTGAAGGTTTTCCCAACTGCCTTTCTTCCTACTAGGCCGGGGGGTCCTGCATGAATAGAGATGGTGTGATGACCCAGAACTCCTTCCTACCAGGGCCTGCCTCTCTCTGGTGCTCACTGGCTTTCCTACCCCAGCCCCACAGGTTCAGAGCCTCCATCTTCTCTCTTCTCCTCCCCTTCTCACGTCAGTCAGCTCCTAGCTCCCCAAGGTGGCCCCAGCATGGCAGTTATCATCCTCCCCATCCTGGCTGAGGCCTTTCTCACTTCTCACCTGCACTCCTGGTACCCACCTACCTCTCTTTCCCAACCATGCCACACTCTCTTTGATTTGGCCAGTTGATTCCCCAACATCTGAGCCTCCTGCTGCCTCCAGAATAGTCTGAACTTAACTACCTTGACAGACTCTGCGGTGGATTCCATAGGTTTGGGGGCTTGTTTGCTTGTTTTTTTTCTTTTCTTTCTTTTTTCTTTTCTTTTTCTTTCTTTCCTTTTTTTTTTTTTTTTTTTGTGGTGTGTCTAGTCACATCCCCCACCAGGCTTAAAAACCCTTTCTGGGTCTTTTGTCCCCTAAGACAGTGCTTCTCAAACTATACTGTGCATACAAATGCCCCAGCTTACAAATCAGTAGTTCTGGGGTGGGGCTAAGAGCCTGCATTTGCAACCCTCTTCCCCAGTGATGCTGATGATTCTGGTTCAGGGACCACACTCTGAAAAGTGCAGGGTTCTATGGAGTTTAAGAGTTGCTTGTGCATAGTGGGGAGCCATCAGATACCTGCAGGTCCCAAGGACTAGTCTGAGAGCTGGGTATATAAATTCCGTAAGACGTGGTCTCTGCTTATAGGCGTGCGTGGTGTGGTGGTAACACACACAAAGATCAACAGTAATAACAGGCAGCAATGAAGGAATGTACATTCTCTTCTCAATGTGAATGTGATATACACAGAGTACTTTGGCATATTGCAGTTCAACATTCGAGCCAAAATTTTAGGTATCTCACATCCACAATGCAGTCTAGAGAAAGCCAATGCATAACGCTGGTAACCTCAAGAAGAACTGAGGGTTGGAAGAAGGAAAATGTATTGAGGTAGATGGCAGAGGTATACGTATTTTTGTAGCGAAACCTGGGAAGAATCAAAGGAAGAAACTGAAGCAGTTTACACATGGGACTTGGGTACTGTCACCTGGAAGAATCTTGGAACCATCTGCTAATGGCCATGTGGACACTCAGCTCCCCCAGATGGCTAGGATCCTGTGTCTTCACCGCTCTGTTCCCTTCTCCCTTTCCGCCCCCCATATAATTACTTGTAACTTTCCTGTGCTCCTGATTCTACATTTATTGGTGTGTTTGTTAGAACTTTTGTTGCCAAGGAACAGAAATCCAATTCAAACTAGCTTAAGTAAAAAGTCATTTTGTCGTCGGGCATGGCCAGGAAAAATCTGGACTGGTTCATGAAGAAGCTACAGCAAGCAGGTGCCCAGAGCTGGGCAGGCAGCTTGTCTTTGCTTCTCTATGTTTGCTGGCCTCAAACATTGCTACCTCAGACAAGCGTCTTCCATACGGCCATGGAAAGTGACCCCAGGAAGTCCCAAACTTGTATCCTAAGACCATCTTCCTAGCTTGCGAGCAGATTCCCATGGAGAATTCTGGCCCTGCCAGCCTAGGGAGGTATACCCCACACCCAACTAACCCCTGCTGCAAATAAGATGGAATGAGTCAGTTGGCCAGGTCCAAATCCTGGGTAGAGCCCTGCAATGGATGTCCATCTGAACTTCACCAAAAGGGCATCTTCCCAGGAGAAAAGTGTCTCACACGCCCCAGTGTCTGCTGCAGCTTGAAATGAGGTAGGCAGAGGCTTTGCATGGCCTTCAGTAAGGAGGGCCATAAGGTAGCTGTCTGCAGGCTGTCTTCTCTATTTATTCACTCCCTAGTACAGGACACTGCAGCAGATGCCCTCAATTCCTGACATTTATTGCCTTTTCATCACTTATCTTTCTTTTTTTAATGACCACAGCAAGAAGTTGTAAACCTTTAAGCATGGTCTGGCATATTCACAGCCTATGTGAGCAGTCACTATTTTGTGTGAGAAAGGCTTGGCGCCTGTCTCAACCATTAATAGCATCTTTGCCAACTTAAACCCTATAGGCATACTTCTGAGTTCCTCCTTGTAAATGAATTTGTAAATCATGAGATTGTCCTAGATAACTGGCTGGAGTAAGATGTTAACTGAGCCTGTACTGTACAGTGTATACTATGTTGAAATTCTACTAGTTGGCTTTTTGTCTTGCTTATATTAATGATCACCAGTTAATTTCCATAGAGCTGATTAGTTGGTGCACTAATCTAAACCAGATTGACTGTGCTTTAGTCTGCCCAGGCATGGGTCTAAATCATACCTGAGAATAAAACATGATCCTAAATTGGCATGTCATCCTTGCACAGGGGCTATGCTAATCTCTGTATCATTCTAATTTTAGTACATGTGCTGCTGAAGTGAGCATGATGATCCCACATTAAGGTTTAATTGTATTTATTTATTTGTATTTATTTTATATTATATTTATATATTATTTATCTTACTTATATACAGACAAGTGCATATTTTGTAAGTGTACAGGAGGATGAAGACATACCAAATTAATATATTCATGCAATCACTATCCATCTTGAGAAATAAAACCTACTGGCACCCCAAAACCTTCCTCTTGCCCTCTCCCAGTTCCTGTCCCCTGAAAGGGGATTGCTGTTCTGAAAGAACATCCCAGATTAGGCTTTCCTAGTTTTGAATTTATATAAATGCATGCTTTCATTTCTGGCTTCTTTCACACCACACTATGTCTGTGAGATACATTCATTGGTTGCAGGGAGCAGCAGTTCATTCCTTTTCATTGCTGTGCAGTATTTTATTGTATGAATATTGTATTTGTTCGGGCTGCTATACCAAAAATACTTCTGACTGGGTAATTTATTAACAACAGAAATTTATTGCTTGCACCTTTGGAGGCTAAGAAGTTCAAGGTCAAGGTGCCAGTAGATTCCATGTCTGGTAAGGTCTGTACCTCATGGATGACACCTTCTATCTGTGTTTTCATTTGGCAGAAGGAGCAAACGAGCTCGCTCGGGCCCCTTCTACAAGAGCACTAATAAATTTGAGGGTTTTCAAAATTGATATATGATTAACCAAAGCCCAGAGTTTTCATTAGGGCTCACTTTCGGTGCTGTGTTCATGACAGCAGAGCCCTCGTGACCTAATCACCTCCCAAAGGCCCCACATGTTCATACTACGACATTGGAGATTAAGTTTCAATATATGAGTTTTTGGGGGACATCAACATTCAGACACAACCAATAGGCCACAGTTTCTTCATTCATCTCTTGTTGATCAACATTGGGTTTGTTCTCTGGTTTTTCCCATTGTGACCCTGGTATATGTATGTGCCATGTGAAACACACCTGTGTGCATTTTTATTAGGAATATTGCTAAAAGTGGAGGAATGGTTGGATCAAAAGTACTTTTTTTTTTTTAAGAGACAGAGTCTCACTTTATTGCCCTTGGTAGAGTACTGTGGAGTCACGGCTCACAGCAACCTCCAACTCCTGGGCTTAGGCGATTCTCCTGCCTCAGCCTCCCAAGTAGCTGGGACCACAGGCGCTCAAAAGTACATTTTAATAGCCCTTCACTTAAACAAAAGCTGGTTGCTATTTCAGGGGATTTGGGGGGACCATCTATGGAAAGTCAGCAACACATCCCTCCTTTCTCCTTCCTAAATTCACTCTAAACTTCCATTTTAATAGAAGAAGGAGGCACTTTGTGGAAATATCAAAGAGAGACAGAAAGAAAGCACACATCACCTAAAGACAATATTCAGTCTATGGTTCTGTGTGAGAAGGAAGAGCTCTGTTCATGCTGACATTGCTTCATTTCTAAATATATTTTTGTGTTTTGAATTATATTACTTAAAAATATCTTTTTCTGACTATAAGGTTAATACATATTTATTACAGAAATTTGGGGACCTACTATAAATAACATTAAAATGTGATATTACCTGTACTGTCACAAAGAGAGCTACCGTGAACTTTTTTTTTGCAGTTTTTGGCCAAGGCTGGGTTTGAGCCCACCACCTCTGGTATATGGGGCCGGCACCCTACTCCTTTGAGCCACAGGCACTGCCCAACTTTTTTTTTTTTTTAAGACAGAGTCTCACTATGTTGCCCTCAGTGGAGGGCTGTGGCATCACAGCTCACAGTAACCTCCAACTCTTGGGCTTAAGAAAATCTCCTGCCTCCACCTCCCAAGTAGCTGGGACTACAGGTGCCTGCCACAACGCCTGGCTACTTTTTGGTTGCAGCTGTCATTGTTGTTGGCAGGCCCGAGCTGGATTCGAACCCACCAGCTCAGGTGTATGTGACTGGTGCCTTAGCTGCTTGAGCCACAGGCACCTAGCCAACAATGAACTTTTTAGTGATATGTATTTTTAATGAATTTATTTGAGATTTTGGGGGGCGGAGGGCAGAGTAACTGAAGTGTGACTTCCATAAATTTTTTATTCACGTGGTTGCATGCAGCAGTACCTTTTCTTTTCCTTCAGATTTTGAGCTGCTGATCAGTCTCTGGTTTCTGTGGTATTTGGCGTAGACAGCAGGCAGGGAGCTTTCTACCCCCCTTAAAAGTCCACCTGCCCGTTCCTCTCCCCTGCATCTCCCACTCCAGTCCTTCTTTGACTCCTCCGGCCACCTCTTGTTCTTAGGGCCGGCTGAATGAGCCCTGAAGGAGACCCAATCCAGGAAACTGTGACTACCGCCTTTGTTAAAACTCATGTGAAGAAGTGATTCAGAGTCTCAAGAGGGGAGATTATTTTGGCTTATCCAGGTGGGCCCTAAATAGAATCCAAAAAGTCCTTATAAGACAGAGGCAGGAGGATGAGAATCAGTAGTAGGAGATGTGAGGACAGATGAAGAGGGGCTAAGATGAAGTAACGTGAAGGGGCTGCACTGCTGGCTCTGAGGACACAGGAGGGGCGGGAGCCATGGGATGCGGCAACCTGTGGAAGCTGGAAAGAACAAGATGGCAGATTTCCTCCTTAGAGCTTCCAGAATGAATCTGAGGGTTTTAAAAACTGATACATGTTTAACCAAAGCCCATAATTTTCCTTAGGGTTCACTTCCGGTGCTATATATTCTATGGATTTTGACAAATCTATATGCCATGTGTCCACGACTGCAGTATCATACAGAGCAGTTTCTCAGCCTCAAAACCCTCCCTTCCCCCGGACAACCCCAATTGTACCGTCTGCACAGTTGGCTTTTCTAGAATATCCTACAGTTGGAACCACACAGGATGTAGCTAGCCCCTTCAGACCAGCTTCTTTCACTCAGCGATGTGCCTTTAAGTTTCCTTCATGTCTTTTCGTGGCTTGTTGGTTCATTTATGTTTATCACTGAATCATATTCCATCGCCGTGATGTGGCACAGCTCGTTTATCCACTCCCCTACCGAAGGGCAGCTCGGTTGCTTCCAAGTTTCGGCAATTATCATATCCAGCTGCTATGCACGTCTGCCGGCAGGTTTTTGTGTGGATGTAGCTTTCAACTCATGTAGGTAAATACTGAGGAGCATGATTGCAAGTTAATTTGTGTTTCAAGCTACAAAGTTTGTGGTAATGTGTGGTGGCAGCGGCAACGGGGAAGTACTGTGGGCCTCCATTCTGAGCCCAGAACACCTGAGCTGCCCACAACTCCCTACAAATTTTAGCTGTCTTCCAGTGCCAAGCAGTGCTAACGTATTAGCTTCTAGCAGCAAGATCTAATATTTAGTATGTACTCACCGTGGGCCAGGCACTGTTCTGTGTGCTCCTGAAATACTTTCTAATGTAATCCTCACAACGGCCCCATGAGGCAGAGGGCCTCTCGCCCGCTGTTTGCAGGGGAGGGAGGTAACACACAGTGAGGTTCTACCTGCCCCCAAAGCCAGGTAGTCACGTGCCGGGACATGCTTCCTGAGCAACTGCACTACCCCACTGCCAGAGCACATGTCTCTATATGAACCTCTGAAATAGACACATGGAAATCTATACCCATCCAATGTCTGTCTGTCTCAGAGAAGTGGTTGAAGACCCACGTTTGCATCTTTTTCAGAAAGACAGGGGGTCGTACCACAGCGTTCTACTCTAGAATCCCCTTTTAATTTTGGTTTTGAAATCTGTTTATAATCCAATAAAGCTCCAGTCAAACCTGATAAATCTTATTTTTGGAGTTCTTTCCTGTTGATATCAAATATTATCAAAGACCTTTTGCTGGCTATGCTGGGCCCAGACCCTACATCCCAAAGAGAGGGCAGTAGAGGGTGGCTGATCCTTGGTAACTCACCCTGGCTTTGACTGATGCCTGTCATGGCAGACTCGTGGAGGTCAAGGGCAATGAAACCAGCTATATCACTCAGGGATGCTTATGTGAGCCGGGCATCGGTGCTTGCTACAATGTGGGGAAGAAGCTATTGTCTGTGCCTTTCGGCAGAATCCTGAGACCCTCTCTCAGTGTGAGCAGCAGAAGCATCTAAGCACCAGGAGACAGGCAACAGCATCCTGAAGGTCACAGCCAGTAGGGAGGGGTCACTCAGCCTTTCCAAAGGCTTAGTCACCGGGAAGGTTGAGGTTCACGGACCAGTTCCTGGGAATTTGGAGAGACCTTTTTGGGGACATCCTCAAATCACTGGCGGACAGCTTAAAGGCATTTAAGTTTTAGCAATTAAGCTGGTGTAAATCCAGGTCACTACTGTTTGGGAGTGAAAAGTAAGCATTCTCTCGAAGTTTCATTCAGGTTTTAAGTATAAGAGATTGTTCTCGTCTGGCCTTGTAACAGAGAATATTTACCCAGATTTGGGCCGTGTTGCTCAGAACAGTAGCCTCCTGCCAGCTCAGGGCTGCCATGTGCCATTAGTCAGGGATTCTGGAAAGTTACATTCTCAGACCTTGACGCTCAGGCTGCATTTGGGCAAGAATCGAAGAAAAGAAACTGGTGATCAGATGTGGTATTGATTTTGTGAATCGCTAACGATTTAGGAGCCCTGTTTGTTTGTACAACCAAAATGCTTTGTACTTGAGATGAAGAGTTAAACGTCTTTGCAAGCCAGCTTGACAACACGCAATTTCTCTGCAAAGGAGTAGTCCTGGGGGATCTATCACTTAACGCGCCGTGAGTCATGTGTTTGCAGTCTCTCTCTTTCCTTGTGACCTACATTTAATCGCACCTGATGGACCACTCTGTGTGTTTTGGGGAAAATGTGTGCTGTGAGCAAAGCTATGGCCTTTCCTTCTGATTAGATTTTTAAATTCTGGTGCCCTCCTGCTGGACATGCCTTATTTAAAAGAGAAAATAGGATAATCCAAGTGTGGCTAGAAGTAGGAAAGTGGAGTATTTTGCCGATATGCTAATTTGCTTCTAAATTTTCTTTTACTCTATCAGGAGGCTTTGGCAGCCAATTGCAATCTATAAGTTTTAAC